AATGGGGTGCCCCAAGGCGGCGTTCTCAGCGTCGCTTTGTTCGCCATTATGATCAACGACATCGGGATGGGGCTTCCGCAGTCTGTAGGTCGTGCGCTTTTTGTTGATGACTTTACCATTTGGACTAGCGCAGCAAGACCACCATCGATGGAACGCCAACTCCAGTTAGCTGTTGACCGCGTTGAGAAGTGGGGTACCATGAACGGGTTCAGGTTTTCACGTAGCAAGACTGTAGCCATGCATTTTTGTCGTAGCCGGCAATGCGGTGACCTTTCTATCCGTATGTATGGACAATGCATCCCAACTGAGCCTGTGGCTAGATACCTTGGGGTATACTTTGACCGCCGACTTACATATAAGGCACATCTTAAAACGCTACGTGAACGCTGTTTTAAATCTTTGAACGTATTAAAATGTGTTTCGCGCACGTCGTATGGCGGAGATCGGAGCACGCTTTTGCTGCTGTATCGGGAAATCATACGCTCTAAGCTGGACTATGCATGTTTTATTTATGACAGCGCATGTGAGTCCACGAAACGGATCATTGACACCATCCATCACACTGCTTTACGTGCCATCACAGGGGCGTTCCGTACATCTCCTACCCAAAGCCTCTTGGTAGAATCGCACGAGCCGCCGTTGTCAGCGAGGAGGAAAATGCTTGGCATGCGTTATGCACTGAAGCTGCGACAGTTTCCGTGTCACCCCGCATATCACGCAGTCTTTCCGCGGCCTGCTGTGCCGTTTGTTCGCAATGCACCTCGGGCGCATGCAGTGACCTTTGGCTCCCGGATACAAGCCTTACTGCGGGAAACCGAAATTCCCATTCGAAAGGTGAAGTGATCACGTCACCTGTGCACTCCTCCCTGGCATTTGATCTCACCCTTCACAGACACATCTCTGACTGAAATGAAAAAAGGTGTCTCGCTGCCAGATATAATGAGGTCCAGAGCGTTTGAGCGTATTGCGTTATATGAGGGTTACACACACACTTACACGGACGGCTCTAAAACTTCTGATGGTGTAGGCTGTGCGTTTGTGAGCGGTGGCGTCACCCGGTCGTTTTCATTGCCCCCAAACGCTTCGGTGTTTACATCAGAGCTTATAGCAATCATTAAGGCGCTATGTTTCATTGAAGTCGGTGACGAACCCTTGCATCTCATTTTGACGGACTCTCTGAGCAGCGTTCTGAGTGTGAAGTCTTTTTATCCGTCATGTCCCCTTATACAGGACATTTTAATACGTTTGACTCATCTGGATGAGGCCGGAAAGAAAATCATGCTATGTTGGGTTCCTGGTCATGTCGGCATCGCGGGCAACGAGTTGGCTGACGCGGCTGCTAGGCGAGCAGCGCTGGCTCCATGTGTTCACTCTCTTTCTATTCCTGCCAGAGACTTTTACCCCGCAATAAAAGCCTTCCTGCACAACAAGTGGCAGCGTTGTTGGGATCGGATGGATTGTAATAAGCTCAGAGAGATAAAACCTAAGCTATGTCAGTGGTTCTCTTGTTCGCGGAAAATGCGGCGAGAGGAGGTGATCCTATGCAGATTGCGCATCGGGCACACATACGCAACCCACGGCTATATGTTGGAGGGAGCAGATAAACCGATCTGTCATCGATGTGGTGCCGTCCTCACAGTTCGCCATATTCTTATTTCTTGTCCGCGCCTCGCGGAAGAACGCCAACGCTATTTTGGACAGCATGACTTGCCCCTTACCCTCTGTGATATGCTAGGAGATAAATCACCATTTCTGGAATTTAAACAGATCTTTTTGTTTCTCAAACACATCAACTTTGGGACCATTTATGCGGCTCATTAGATAGGTAAAACCAAACTCGTTATGGGCGCCAAATGACCACCGCAGTTGGTGCGCCCCTAAACTCCAATAAACAACAACAAATTACGCATAAGGCACATCTTAGAACGCTACGTAAACGCTGTTTTAAATATTTGAACGTATTAAAATGTGTTTCGCGCACGTCGTATGGCGGAGATCGGAGCACGCTTTTGCTGCTGTATCGGGCAATCATACGCTCTAAGCTGGACTATGCATGTTTTAGTTATGACAGCGCGTGTGAGTCCACGAAACGGATCATTGGCACTATCCACCACCCTGCATTATGTGCCATCACAGGGGCGTTCCGTACATCTCCTACCCAGAGCCTCTTGGTAGAATCGCACTAGCCGCCGTTGTCAGCCCAGGAGGAAAATGCTTGGCATGCCTTACGCACTTAAGGTGCGACAGTTTCCGTGTCATCCCGCATATCACGCAGTCTTTCCGCGGCCTGCTGTGCCGTTTGTTCGCAATGCACCTCGGGCGCATGCAGTGACCTTTGGCTCCCGGATACAAGCCTTACTGCGGGAAACCGAAATTCCCATTCGAAAGGTGAAGCGATCAGGTCACCTGTGCACTCCTCCCTGGCATTTGATCTCACCCTTCACAGACACATCTCTGACTGAAATGAAAAAAGTGTCTCGCTGCCAGATATAATAAGGTCCAGAGTGTTTGAGCGTATTGCGTTATATGAGGGTTACACACACGCTTACACGGACGGCTCTAAAACTTCTCATGGTGTGGGCTGTGCATTTGTGAGCGGTGGCGTCACCTGGTCGTTCTCACTGCCCCCAAACGCTTCGGTGTCTACATCAGAGCTCATAGCAATCATTCAGGCACTATGTTTCATTGAAGTCGGTGACGAACCCTTGCATCTCATTTTGACGGACTCTCCGAGCAGCGTTCTGAGTGTGAAGTCTTTTTATCCGTCCTGTCCCCTTATACAGGACATTTCAATACGTTTGACTCAACTGGATCAGGCCGGAAAGAAAATCATTCTATGTTGGGTTCATAAACATGTCGTTGTCATGTCGGCATCGCGGCAACGAGTTGGCTGACGCGGCTGCCAGGCGAGCAGCTGGTTCCATGTGTTCACTCTCTTTCTATTCCTGCCAGAGACTTTTACCCTGCAATAAAAACCTTCCTGCACAACAATTGGCAGCGTTGTTGGGATCGGATGGATAGTAATAAGCTCAGAGAGATAAAACCTAAGCTGGGTCAGTGGTCCTCTTGTTCCCGGAAAATGCGGCGAGAGGAGGTGATCCTCTGCAGATTGCGCATCGGGCACACATACGCAACCCACGGCTATATGTTGGAGGGAGCCGATAAACCAATCTGTCATCGATGTGGTGCTGTCCTCACCGTTCGCCATATTCTTATTTCTTGTCCGCGCCTCGCGGAAGAACGCCAACGCTATTTTGGACAGCATGACTTGCCCCTTACCCTCTGTGATGTGCTAGGAGATAACTCACCATTTCTGGAATTTCAACAGATCTTTTTGTTTCTCAAACACATTAACTTTGGGACTATTTATGCGGTTCATTAGATAGGTAAAACAAAACTCGTTGTGGGCGCCAAATGACCACCGCAGTCGGCGCGCCCCTAAACTCCAACAAACAACAACAAAGGATACGTGATGGGACGCCTGGGTTGTGGCATGCTGCGGCTGGGAACAATGTATTTACGGTGTGGTTGTCTTAAAAAGCGGAAAACATCGTACCTGGTGTTCTGAACTACGCCACTTGCGTAGGTATTGCGGTTCTGGTAGCCCGGTACACGTCATGTCACGAGGTGCACGCAGGATATACATACTAGAGTGCGTCAGTGCAGGCATGAGCAGTGCTCCAAAATGCATCCAGTGGGGTGTGCAGGATGTAAATATGGTCTCATATTGCCAGAATCCTGATTCCCCGGCACCTTACGCACGTAATGCGTAGGCGCTAATCCGTTGCCCTTTTCCCATAACCCAGCCACTTGACCTGCCGGGACAGCTCTCAGGCCCGAGTCGTTAACCGGGCGGTGCTGGGTTCACCACCGCCCGGTTCAATGCTGGTTGGCTGATTTTGAACATGGTGTGGAGCAGCAGGCAGTGAACCCCCACGCCGGAGGTTTATGAGCATGACAAATAGTGACATCCCAGTCATCCAAGTGGCTGAGTACTGGAACACTGGGTGTGAGCTAGACACCCAGTGTCATTCAATTCCGTCGTACCAGCGTGATGTTTTCACATAAAGACGCATATTCTGGCTAAAGATAAACAACTATGTTTGGCATGTACGGAGAGCCCAAAGACATGCACGTAAGTTCCTCAGACCTTGATTAGTTCAAGACTCGGCGGAGGCCTATAAGTTGTCTTAAACCTGAGTCTCACAACGAGGCACGTCGGGTACACCACTTTTGGTGGCAGTCTTGAGCAGAGGGCCCTGAGCGGACAGACCTGGGCGGACAACCATAAGTGGACAGCCCTGGGCCTGGGACAGCTCTGGGCGGACAGACCTGGGCGGTCAGCCCTGAGCGGACGGACCTGGGCGGACAGCCCCGATCGGACTGGCGGCAACCATGAGTGAACCCTGAATGGGTCTGCCACCGTGTCCAGTGGCTCCCGGCGGTCCGCCAACGAGCCGCGCGGCGGCAGATGGCTGCTCGACGCGCCACATGTGAGTGAGCGCCGCGCCTGGCTTCGCGGCGAGACCGCGTGTCCAGTCTTCGGCCGGCGGCCCGTGCACAAAATCAGGCTAGGCTGGTCAGGGTCAGGCTTACCGCCCTCCCGGTGGACGGCCGCTGCTGGACGGCACGGTCGGGACGGTAGGAGCCGGCAAACGGGGTCAATGATGGCGGATGGTCGCACGGATATTGGATGGGGTTTCGATGAGCTGGGATGGGCTCTTTGTGTACCAGAAGTCTAGAATGGTCTGCCTGCCGGGGACCTTTATGTTTGCTGGTGGCTGGCGGCGATGCAGGTAGTAGTAGTCACTGGACTGTGACAGCGACTTAATTTGTTGCTAACAGCCAGAGATGTGCCTACACATTCCATCAGCTGTACCTGCTCTCATTGCGGTCTGCTCCCCGAGCCGGTCTGCCGGTGGTCGCGCCAGCGGGCCGGCGCTCGTTTCCAGCGCACTGTGCGGGGCTGGCCGTCGCTGACCGACCACCGTGTGTTGCAGGCCTTCGTTGTCCCGAGCCGGGCTGCCGCAAGCGCCTGTCCAGCCAGCAGCGGCTGAGCGATCACCGCGCCTGGCACCGCGGCGAGACCGTCTGTCCGCTGTGCGGCCAGCGGCTCTCCTCGCGCACCAAGTTGCGCGCTCATGTGCAGCACCGGCATCCGTCGGCCGGCAGCTGGCTGCTTTGACTCCCCACAGAACGCTGGCTGGGGCGCAGGCGGCGACTCGCGCTGAGAAGGGAGCGGCAGACCCCGGGGAAGGGACTGGAAGTGTAGGTGCCGGCCGTTGCGTCTACTGGGAATGATCCTCCGTTACGGAAGACTGTCTCCACCCGATGGACTGCGAGGGGAGGGGGGGGGGGGGGAAGCAGTGTGCTCATGAGCTGGAGGGCGGGTAACCGTTCCCGGTTCGATGGCGGGTCGCCGGCAGCTGCCGGGTCCGGACAGAGCTCCTCGCCCGGCGCTGTGAGCCGCCGCCCGACGGCGCCGTTTCGCGCCGAGCGAGAAGTGGCGCTGACGGTGGTCGTGTGTTGCAGGCGTGCCGTGCCGCTGGCCCGGTTGCGGCCAGCGGCTGCGCAACTCGCAGCGCCTCAGCGACCACCTGGCCTGGCACCGCGGCGAGACGCTGTGCCCGGTCTGCCAGCGGCGCTTCAGCAACCCACGCAACCTGCGCGACCACCGCCGGCTGGTGTGGTGCCAGCCGGCGGCGCACTGCCGCTGACAGCCGGCGCCGGCCGCGTAGCCAGCGCGCTGTCGTGGCGGGGCTGCGCTCATTGTCACAGTAGAACGACACACTACTGTGTTGGTGTCCTGCGCGACTGTGTCTGCCACCTATCGTTCAGGGTGTGCTGTTGGGTGAAGAGCATGTGCTGTAGGCGTGGTTCTCCAGCACGTGCTTCAGCAGTGCAGGAGTGCACCCGTTGTTGCCACGTTGACGTTTGTTTGTGTGCTGAATGAGCTACTTGTAGTTGAGAACCGTAACAACATATGGATAACTTGCGGTACACCATTTATCTGTTTGTTTAAGGCTAGCCAAAATAAGGCCGTGACATTTGACCACGTCTCTCCCTCACTATGTCCGCGGTTTCCCAAGAATAGGATGTCTGAGCTGACGCGCGCAGGGGTAGAAAACGGGCTGTGTCCATAACAAGACAGGCACCCAATAGAACACAGCCATTCAGAAATTACGCGCTACCAGCTGTCTCAACAGTCGTGGGACAGTCTTGGGCGGGTAGTAAGCAGGCCCCAGTAACGACGTCGTGGGCTCCATACTTCCAGATTCAGACAAATAGCAGGTCGGCAGACGGGTTGTCGCTACAATTTTAAAGATATCGGTTGTACCCTTAGCACGCGCCCTGGACTTGCAGCCAGCACCCCAAGCTCCCTCCCCACCAACCGAGCAGTCGGTGGCCGGTGCTGTGTCGGTGCAGCTGGTCTCCTCGGGACCAGTTGGATCGCTAACAAATGACGGCTGGACGACGGTTCGGCGTGGCCGCAGCCCTCGCGCGCTGTCCGGTATTCCTTCTTCTGAGAAACCACCGGCTCCCTCATCACAGACACCCCTCACCAGTGCCTGTGAACGTGTAGCAGAGACGATGGAGCGTCAAGAAGCTGACAGGTGCCTCTACATTAGTGCCTCCATGGGAGCTAATCTCACCAAAAGTGGATGTTTCCCTTTCATGCACAAGCAAGCAGGGAGCGATCCCATGCGACCTGAGATCGAAGGCTCTGGAGCACATCGGGTCGTACCTGGGTTTTCAAGCCACATATACTGATGGGTCGAAGACGGAGGTAGGCGTTGGTGCTGCATTTGTGAATGACCGAGCCACCCGGTCCTTTTCTTTACGGAAACACGCCTCAGTTTACACGTCCGAGCTCGTTGCAATCAGTAAAGCCCTATGCTTGATCGAAGTTGGTGAGAGCAACTCACACGTGATCTTATCCGATTCTTTGAGCAACCTGTTGGCTCTGACAACCTATAACCCACCTTGTCCCACTATACAGGATATTTTAGTTCGCCTGACAGCGCTGGATCTTGCTGGTAAAACTGTCGTCTTATGTTGGATACCGAGTCATGTGGGTATCGCAGGTAACGAGCGTGCTGACGCGGCCGCAAAACGGGCAGCGCGTGCACCTTGCACCCGTTCTTTACCCTTGCCGGCAAGGGACTCTTACCCTGCAATCGCGACCTTTGTGAAGGCGAAATGGCAGCGCTGCTGGGACGCCATTGTAAACAATAAGTTAAAGATGATCAAGCCACAACTGGGTCTATGGTCTACAAGCTCACGTAAGCTGAGACACGAAGAAGTAACCCTCAGCAGGTTACGAAATGGCCACACGCACGCAACACATAGCTACCTTTTGTGCGGTGAAGAACGCCCTAGATGTCCTCGCTGTGGTGCGCCACTTACGGTTCGCCACGTTATTCACTCGTGCCCACAGTTCAGAGAAGAGCGGGCACTTTACTTCGGACGAGATGCGTCAGGTCTTACCTTTTCAGACCTTATTGGTGACGATTCTCGCGTGCTTGGCACCGGACAGCTGTTTTCATTTTTGAGAAGCGTAGGATTCACAGCCATTTATACACCACGGTGAACACTTAGCTGTTATGGGCGCAAAATGACCCTAGAAGTCGACGCGCCCTAAAACCCCAATCATCATCGTCAAGAAGCTGACAGGCGCTCCCGCGAAGCCAAGCGAGCGCGTCTAGTTGAGCAAGAAAGGACGAAGGCGATTAGCCGGCTGCTGGGGGCGGATCAGGGACGTGCTCCCGCGGGGGAAGCTGGTCCACCGCCCAGACAACGCATAGAGGCCCCTGGTGGATCCGAGGTTCGAAAGCCACCGATGGGCCCTCATCCTGCGCCGCCATCTAGGGTCATGGCTTCGCCGGCGCCGTCCCCGTCTAGAGTGGGGCGCCCGGAAAAACGTGGCCCTCCCTGGCCCATCTCGCCCACAGACGGCAGCTCACGTATTCGGCCCAGAGCCCGGCCGGCGTCGGTGGGATCAGACCTTGGTGGATCCTTGCACCCCGTGGCTGAACCGTCTGGGTCTGCTGTGGCCGGCGCAGCCGAGCATTCTTAAAAGTAGGTATGTTTTACACTCACAACCCAAACACATGCCCCCCCCCCCTCCGGTAGGCGTCGATACCGCGGAGTGATTGGAAGCTAAGGACCCCCGCAGGGGCACCGGCTTCGGTCGGTGTAGGGGATTAGCGCCCCCTCGGGTCCCAGCTCCGGTAACGGATGGACAGCGAAAGCTGTTCCTCTCAGGGTGTACCGACCCTGCCGGTTCGTGAGCTCCTGCTCCTTGTCCGGCCCGCTCCCTCCACATTACCCATTTTCCTGCATCCGGCCCACTCATCACTCCTGATCCTCGTTTTATCGGGGTCGCCGTGCCCCCTCGCCCTCGTCCCCGGGTTGACCGGCACAGCAGCACATTAAACCTCTTGGCTTTCAGGCAAGCACACGCGGCCGCACGCCACACTACACGAGAGGCGAAATGTGCATCATGGCGCAGCTACGTCAATTCACTAAATCGCCACACGCCGACGTCACATGTATGGGGCCGCATTAAACGAATCGCTGGACTGCATCCAGCAGTTTCCCTTCCCGTACTGCGAGTGGGAAGTCAAGACATCACTCACCCAAGTGATGTTGCAGAAGCCATTGGGGAAGCGCTGTCAGAACGTTGCCGAAATGGCACCTGCGATCCACGGTTTTTGCGGCACAGGGCACGATGTGAAACTTCGCAGGTTAATTTTTGTACAGATGACGTCCTGACGTACAACAAACATTTCACTATGATGGAGCTTCAAGCAGCCATTCGCTCGCTGCGTAGTGTAGCGGAGGGGCCCGACCTCATCCACAATGAAATGATACGGCATTTTCCTCCCCGTATACTACGAGCGTTGCTGGCAGTTTTCAACTGCATATGGGTGTCAGGTAACTTCCCGCCAATCTGACGAGAGGCAATAGTAGTGCCTATTTTAAAGCCCGGAAAAAGTGGGACGAACGCTCTTGACTACCGCTCGATCGCCCTCACATCTTCGCTTTGTAAGCTCATGGAAAGAATGGTGAATGTGCGGCTCTCGTGGACTTTAGAACGCCAGAACTTTTTCACGAATGCTCAGTGCGGATTCCGTAAGAACAGGAGCACGATCGACCATATCTTAACTTTTGATACCGCAGTGCGAGCCGGATTTAGTAGCAAGTGTCATACCGGCGCCATCTTCTTTGACATAGAAAAAGCTTATGACACCACATGGAGACATGAAATTATGATGAACTTTTCGATTGTGGCATCCGTGGTCACATGGAAAAGTTTTTACAAAACTTTCTGATTGACAGATTCTTTCGGGTGCGTGTTGGTTCTTATCAATCCGACAGGTATCCACAGGACAATGGTGTGCCTCAGGGCAGCGTATTAAGTGTCATTCTTTTCGCAGTGATGATAAACGACATAGGGGACACGCTTCCACATGGGATCAGCCGTTCTCTGTTTGTAGACGACTTCGCTATTTGGTGTAGCTCATCGACCACTCGCACGATGGAGCGACAGCTGCAGCTGGCTGTCACACGTCTGGAGAAGTGGAGTGTGCTCAACGGTTTCCGGTTTTCTACATCGAAGACAACTGCAGTTCATTTCTGTCGTCGTCGCCGTCACTGTCCTGATATGGAAATCAGGCTGTATGGGCAACGCGTCGCCAATGAGAATACCGCGAAATTTCTCGATATACGCTTTGACCGACGCCTAACATACCGTGAGCACATCAGAAATCTCCGCGACAAAGGTTTAAAATCTCTTAACATCCTAAGGTGCGTGGGACGTACGTCATACGGTGCTGATAGGAAGACACTCTTACTCCTATACCGCTCCCTGATTCGTTCAAAACTTGACTACGGCTGTTTTATCTACGACAGCTCATCAGACCTGATGAAACGTACTCTGAACACGGTGCATCACGCCGCGCTCCGTATCGCCACAGGGGCTTTTCGGACATCGCCCATAGACAGTCTTCTGGTGGAGGCTCACGAGCCCCCACTAGCATTGCGAAGGCAGATGCTGGGACTGCGCTACACGTGCAAGCTGGCGCAGTTCCCAGATCATCCCACCTACAAAGCAGTGTTTTCGCGTAGCTTACGAAAGCTTTTCCTACGTCAACGGTCGCCTAAAACTTCTCCCTTCTGTGTACAAATGAGAGAGCTTTTACATGCGAGCGGCCTGAACCTACGGCGTGTCATCAGACCTAAACCCATGGAGACTGCTCCTTGGGAGCAGTCTCCATGGGAGCATCGCCAAGAGTGGATGTCTCTCTATCAAATATGCAAAAGCAACGTGTCCTCATGACGGAACTCAAAGGTGCAGCCTTAGAGCACATGGCCTCCTATGACGGGTACAAGATGACTTATACAGATGGTTCGAAGACGGATGCAGGTGTAGGGTGCGCTTTTGTGTGCGGATCCACCACACGGTCATTCACACTGCCTTCACGCGCGTCGGTCTACACTTCCGAGCTTATAGCCATTAGCAAAGCTCTCTGTTTTATTGAAGTGGACGATAGCAACCTGCATTTAATTCTTTCCGACTCCTTGAGCAGCCTGCTGGCTGTTAGCGGCTTCTCCCCGTCGAATCCACTGGTTCAGGACATTCAATCTCGTCTTAGCTCACTGGATCGAGCAGG